AAGAGATTCGGCTCTACACATACATGTATCTGTTCTCTTTCAGATTCTTTTCTAATAAAGGCTATTACACAATATTGAGTAGAATTCCCTGTGTGTACAGTAAGCCCTTGTTGATTATCTATTCTATGTACAGTAGTGTGTTGTTAACCCTAACTCCTAATCTATCCCTCCCCCATCTTTCCCCTTAGTCTGACAGTCCGTTTTTATTTTGTAAATAAATTCACTCGTGTCCTTTTTTTTGAAAGATTCCACATATAAGTGATGTCATATAGTATTTGACTTTCTCTGCTTTTCTTCACTTAGTGTGAACATCTCTTGGTAAGCCCAGCTTCTTTCAGTTTCCTCTTCCCCTGCAGACTTTCCACATTAATAATAATAATTCTGAGCTGCATCTAGCCACCTCTGGCAGGTTTCATCACAGATGGAATCCGGGCAGTGGGACCATTTCAGTAAATGGGACTTTTGGGGAAGGGATGACAGAGGCGCCTGGCAGGTTACAGTCCGTAGGGTTGCAAGGAGTTGGACACAACTGCAGCGATTTAGCACATGAGTCAAGCAAAGGCCTCCGGTCACTGGCTGAAAGGGGGTGTCTCTTAGCAGATGGGGGTTCACCGTCTCTGCAGTGAGGTTGGGGGCAGCAGGCTCCAAGCTCTGCCAGCTCTTCTCATGCCCACCTGCATCTACGTTGGCTAAGAAAGCAGCCCCCGGGCGCAATGACTCGCCTGTATCATGGGGATTCGGGCAGTGCCTCTTGGCACTTCCTCTGTGTGAACCGCTTAGAACAGCGCCCTGCGTGTAGTCGGGGCAGCCCTGGCTGACCTGTATTCTGGCCCAAATTCTGCCACTCGCCTGCTACTGCGTGACTCTGGGCAGGCTCCTAACCTCGCTGGGCCCACTGATGGTAACTATTCTTAATAGAATTTGCACTTCAGGGTCTAAATCCTCTCCGGCTTCCTTCATCGTCCACCTGGAGATCTTTTTCTTTGTTTTTTTCCACCTGGAGATCTTGATGGATCATGGGTGAACAGTATCACCAAGTGGTTCCCACTCTTTCCAAGGAAGTGAAGACACAGATTTGCTGGAAAGTCTCAGGAAATGATCGGTTCCATCTATTATATGCTGCTGATGGAGCCAAAAGCTAGGGAGTTTCTAAATTTCTACCAATTTCAGAAAAAGGAAGAACAGTAAGAGCCTTTCCATCTTCTGATTGTGCAATTTCACTTCTGGAAATCTATTTTAAAGAAACTTCCCTTTTAAAATAGATAAAGATTTTATTATTATTAGTCTTTTCTCTTCTTTTCTTTGGTCACGTAGACTGGGAGACCTTAGTTCCCCAAACAGGGATGGAACCAGTGCCCCCTGCAGAGGAAGCTCAGATCCTAACCACTGGGCCGTCAGGGAAGTCCCCAGAGTGGTTCCTATATGATGAGCAATGCTGACCTAAAAGTCATAATGAAAAAAATCTATAGAAACAGACCCAGGAACAAAATGATAGGATTCATAGACAAAGATATTATGACAGTCTTACACCTACATTCTATATGTTTAAGAAAATAGAGGAAAGCTTGAGCTTGTTGATTAGAAACATAGAAAAAGAAAGTGAAGTAGCTCAGTTGTGTCTGACTCTTTGTGACCCTACAGACTGCAGCCTGCCAGGCTCCTCTGTCCATGGGATTTTCCAGGTAAGAATGCTGGAGCGGCTTGCCATCTCCATCTCCACGTGATCTTCCTGACCCAGGGATCTAACCTGGGTCTCCTGGACTGCAGGCAGGCTCTTTACTGTCTGAGCCACCAGGTAAGCCAGTTAGAAACATAGAAGATATTAAAAAAAAAAAAAGTAGATCAAATTTCTAGAGAGAAACAAATACACTGAGATGATAGAGTGGATAGGATGCCTGCAGATTAGACAATGTAAAAGAAAAGGTTCGTTATTTATTCAGTGTATCTTAAGCAGCGAAGGTGCAGATGAAGATGATGGTGGTGGGAGTGATGGTAGCTCACATTTGCTCGTTTCTGGATACTGACTGAGCTCTGTCCCCGTATCACCTCATTTAATTCCCACAAACCTATGAAGCAGGTGCTATGGTAATCAAGCTGGACCCTATGGTGCTTTCCCAGGACAAAATTGCCCCCACTTGAGTCTTCCACCTGTCGCTCACTATAAAAAAAACTTTAACCTCCTAGGTCTTCCCCAAATTCCAAAGAATGTGTTTAATCAGAAAAGTAAGAAAAATGCAAAGCCAAAAGAAAACAGTCAAGCAAGGAAAAAATAATAAATGTTTAGCCATTAAACAAAGCTGAGGACCTTCAGTTCCTCCTTCAGGGCTGTTCTGAGCCAGTCTTATGAACTGGTTCACAGACTCCACCAGGTGGAAGAAGTTACCTGTAAGGTGTCACAAGGAAAGAGACTCCAGACGATTAGAACCGGAAGGTTGACGCTATTGACCCCTTAATTCTCTTACCACCAACCAATCAGAAGAATGCCCACAGGCTGACCATACACCCCGAAACCCCTCCCCCTCATTCTGTCTTTAAAGCCTTTCCCTGAAAGCCACCATGGGAATTCAGGCCTTTTGAGAAAGAGTCGGACATGACTGAGCGACTCAACTGAACTGAACTGAGCATTGGCTGTGTGGACCGCTTGCCTGGTGCCCTGCAATAAACGATGCCCTTACTTCACCATGACCTGAGGTCAGTAGACTGGCTTTTCTGGGCAGGCGAACTCAAGCTTGGTTCAGTAACACTCTCACCACCCTGTTTCACATGTGAGAAAATGGAAGACACGGAGCTGAGCAGCTTTCTCCCAGTGAAGCAGCTGGAACGCCAAGGAGGCAGCCTGGGCTTGGGTCCCACCTCCCGGCCTCTTTGTCTCCACGTGATGCTCCATAACCTGTGTTGCGGTCACTATAACGGCATTCTCTCTGCGGGTGTGTTGTGTGCAGTGTGTTGTGTGTATGTGGTCTCTAAACCCCACGGCCATCAGAGGAGAGAGGGACAGTTGCCTCCACATTGTCCATGTTCTGCAAATAAGGAAAGCAAGGCTCTTGAGGTCAAGTGATTTGCCCAGGGTCCCAAGCTGGTAGGAGAAGAAGCTAGAGTTTGAATGTGGTCCCTTTGAACTGTGCCCTGGGACCTCTGGGGATGTCTGGAACAGCAGATTTTGAAGACTTTTTGCAACATCTCTCAAGTCTTCTCTTCCACTAGGGCAAAGACTTCTGGAGTCAGCAGAAGTCCTGGCTCCTTTTGCTTCTGCCCAATTGATACCAGCTCAGGGGGAAGCTGGGGCTCAGAAGGGTAACCACAGATCTAGAGAGTTCACAGGAAGGTCGCACATTGGTAAGAGCATAAAGGAACAGCTACAGAGCACACATGGGGGAGGCATGCCAAAGAACATGCCAGCGAGACTGCGTGTATTTGCTGCTTAGTATTTTGCATGCAGATTGCTTTTTCATGTATGAGATGATCAGCTAATGACTGAGTCTAGGGATAAAGGAAATTTCAATTTTAAAGAGACAGGGAAGAGGGAGAGGGAATTCACCCAGCAGTGACTTGACTTTTTTGAGGGGGTAGACCAGTTAGCTGGCAGCAAAGAGGTCAGCCTGTGCTCTATGTTTTTGAATAGCCACCTGACGGGCACAGAAGAAACCCAACTTCTGCTCTCATGGACTCTCCAGCAAACCTTTGAAGGTTCCTGGTAGAGTGTTTGTAGCAGACTATCCATTTGTAATTCCAAACATGTCTGCGATCAGCACCTCCACCCTAGTTGGGCTCGGTCCGCATCATTTGCCTCATTAGGAGTCCCATTTTAAACTGGGGCAGACCTTCGGCAGGGTACGTTGTCAACACATATCAATTGCCTTCAAATTGTGTGTGTGCTTTGACTCAGCAAGCCCACTTAAGGCAATTCTGGGCAGGGACGAGATTTCATCTCAAAGATTTCTTTCACTGTCCTGCTGAGTGGTCTAGAATAGTACAATTTTGGAAATAACCCATATGCCCAACAATAGGGGGTTCTTTAAATGAATGGCATACAAGACTACCTTTCAAAATGTTTCTGCAGAAGATGATTTAACAACATAGAAATATGTTCAAGTTATTTTAGTAAAAGAAAAGACAGACTACAATGTTTTACCTGTAGCATTTACCTAATCTGGTCAGGGAGACATGCGGAAATATATATATATATACACACACACATATATACATATACATGTACATATATGTATATGTATAGTAACAGAACCAGGAAAACATTGACACCAATATCTTAATGATCAAAGTAACTTAAGTGCCCATCAATGGATAAGTCCATAAAAAGATGTCATTTTATGTATGTGTGTGTGTGTGAGTGTGTGTGTATGCAAACATGTTAAAATAGAGAGTAAAATGGTGGTTACCAGGAAGTAGGGGATGGGGAGGGCTAGGACAAATTTTGTTTATGTGTACGAACTTGCAACAAGTAGTAAATGAGTCCTAGAGACAGTACAGTGAATATAGACAACAATGTTGTGTTGTAATCACCAAACTTGCCTAGAGACTAGATCTTAATGATTCCAACCACAGAAAGAAATTGTAATAATGTGATGTGATAGAAATGCTAATTATGGTGGCACTAACACTCAGATTATGATATACAAATGTATCAAATCAATATATTGTACACTTAAATTTACACAATGTTATATGTCAATTTCATTGAAAAAATTAATGGTGATGAATGGATTCACAGATGATTTTAAATTTCTTCTAATTGTTCATGTATTCCAAATCTTCTATGCCAAACATGCAATCAAAAATATTTTTTAAAGACATTAAAAAACAGGAATAATAAAACTCCGCTTTGCCAGAAAACAGGAAGCACAAAGAGCATGGGTGACCTCCGCCAGAGCTGAGCTGGGAGGGGTGGGAGCGAGTTCGGCGGGTAGGGGTCATCTGATATAAGGGGCTGCTGGCCAAGAGGGGACTTCCAGCAGCCGGCTCCACTGCTCTGTGCTGGGATCATGGACCTTTCCCTCCTCTGCACACTGGTGGTCTTTGCTGGTAAGTGGGGGCAGCACCCACAGCCGGGAAGGCAGGGAGGGAAGCCAGGATGCCCTGCATCTCTTTCCTATCAGAGCTGCTGTGCTGGTCTTACTGCCCCGGTCTCCAGTCCCCCACTGTTCGGCCCCTGCAAGGAGTCATCAGTGGCTCAGTCCCCTGGAACAGTGGCTTCAGTCAGAGAGCTATGGGCGGCCAAGCAGTGTGGCAGAAATGGACAAGAAGCTAGAAGTTCAGAAACTAGGGTCCAGTTGAACTGACGTTGTGGTACTTTGGACACAAACTACAGAAATGGATCTGCTCTCCTGTGTCCCTCTCACCAGATAATAGTAATCTCTTACATATGCACACCTCTCCACACCTTTAGGGGGCTTTCCCGTGGCTCAGTCGGTAAAGAATTGCCTGCAATGCAAGAGACCCAAGTTCGAACCCTGGGTTGGCAAGATCCCCTGGAGAAGAAAATGGCAATCCACTCCAGTATCCTTGCCTGAGAGATCCCATGGACAGAGGAGCCTAGCAGGCTAGAGTCCATGGGGTTGAAAGAACTGAACACAACTTAGTGATAAACCACCAGGTTTTTACAACCCTTTCAGCTCCCTTGACCCTGGGGGTTCTGTTGTCCATTGGGAAATGGAGAAGTTTCCACCTGATCTTTAACAAATCAGATGTTGCAAATTTGGTTGCTCGCAAACTGGAGTTTTTACTTGTTGATCCATCTCAGAATATGTGATATGAGAAAGGATTTGCATTTCGTTTTTTAATGTGATTTATGTTATTTTGGGGGCTCCCAAATTCCCAAGAGAAACACATCACCAGGGTTACAGTGAAAAACATTTGGAAAATTGCAATCAAGTTGCAGAAATTCATCTCTCAGATGCAAAGAGGCAGTATGGTGTAGAGATGAAATACACAGATGAACCTGCATTCAGATGCTGGCCCATCAACTTCTGGTGGTATGACCTTGGCCAAGTATCCCTACCCGTCTCTATCCTCATCTGCAAAGTGGCACAATAACATCCTCTTCATTGGGTTGTTAGAAGGACTCTAATTAGAAAATATATACAAAACACTCAAGAAGTGTAAGTAACAGTGCGCAGTAAGTTAACAGACAGTGCATGCATGAGTTAGTGGTGAGTGACATTGCCCCGCCACTGTCGCTAACCCTTGGGAGAAGGGGCTCCATCCCTCTCAGCGACAGCTGAGGATGGAAAAAGCTACCAAGGCAGGAATCACTGTTAACCTGAGTCAGTTTCCCAAAGCCCTCTTGACCACAAGGTGAGCTCCTCCATTCCCCAGGGCTGGGTTGACCTCACTGTAAAACTGCAAGAAATAAGACCCCCTAAATCACCCTGAATCCAAGCTGAACTTGCTTGGTGAGGAACAGCTGTAGAATTCAGGTGTGAATTTGTGTGGCTACTTCTAAGCTGAAATAGAAAGGCCTGAACTTCGGGTGCACAAGGGGATGGAGGTGCAGCGAAAGGTGAGATTCCGAATTCGGATCCCCGGCTGGCCTATTGGGTGGACATTAACTCTCTTGGCCGTGGGCTGTTTCTGGGACCTCATCACCAAATCTGGGGTTCCAGGGGGCCTGGGGTCATTCCTCAGCACAGTCAAAGTTAGGAAGGTTTCTCTTTAACATCTGTAGAGCTAGAGCCGCCGTGGCAAACTAGAGCGGCAGTGTGGATTCCACACTCTGGGGTCACGACCTGCAGGTCCCAGACGCTGCCAGTCACAGGTTAGCTGTAGTGCTGGGGGCTCAGGCAGGAACGCATCTGCCTGAAACGGACCCAGGTTCGATCCCTGGGTCGGGAAGATGCCCTGGAGAACAGGAGGGCTATCCACTCCAGTATTCTTGCCTGGAGGATCCCATGGACAGAGGAGCCTGGCAGGCTACAGTCCGTGGGGTCGCAAAGAGTCGGACACCACTGGGTAACTGTCACTTTCTTCACCAGGCAAGCACCCTGTTTCTGATGGCATCCCCAGCCCACTGCATGAGTTCATCCCAGCCCCAACATTGCCCAGTAGGGCTCTCCCCTGGTTATTACTCACTTTATTTGAGTGTAGAGCTTTCACTATAACACCATTTACTTGAGGGTAGGGGGTGAGCATCCAAAACTAGGGTCACCAAAAAGGGCCTCCCCAGCCCAGTCTCTCTGAGACTCTGGGCTCCATCTGCGTTCTTGGGTCATCTCCCAAGGTTGCACACAGGTACATTCCAGTCCCCTTTGCATCTCGTCTGTTTCTCCCAAATTCTTCCCTGAATCCATTGGCTTAATGTATTTTATTTCTCCTCACTCAATGTAATGCATTCCTCTCTCCCAATAAAATGAATTCCCCTTATTATCATTTCTAACCAGCAGATATTATGACTGGTGAAAAATATTCATGAAAAACATTGATTTCTAAATCACACTGTTTCCCAAAGGAGTCATGCATAGTTTTTTAAAAGAGGCCTTTTTTTTTTTAATGATTGTATTTATTGTATTTTATTTTTGGCTCTGCTGGGTCTCTGTTGCTGGGTGAGGTTTTTCTCTAGCAGCGGTGTGGGGAATTCTGGCTTCTCTTGTTGTGGAAGGAAGGCTCTAGGGGGCGTGGGCTCAGTGGTTGTGGCCCCCAGGCTCTAGAGCACAGACATAATAGTTGTGGTGCACGGGCTTAGCTGCCCCTCGGCATGCGGGGTCATCCTGGACCAGGGATTGAACCCGTGTCTCCTGCACTGGCAGGCGGATTCTTTGCCACGGAGCCACCAGGGAAGCCCCCGTGCATACTGTGCGGGTTCCTATGGGCTGTGGTGGGAGTGGGGGTGGCGGGGGAGTGTCTTCCTCCTGTAGACTGTGAACCCCGAGACAGAGAGCGGGACCCGACGGCCCTGGGTTTCAACCCTGCTCCTCCGTCTACCCGCTACTGTGACCTGAACAAGCTACTGAACCTCCATGCATTCATCCCTAACGTGGGGATTAAAAACAGGATTGGTGGTTCCAATATTGCTTTCTTAGTTTTCATACATATATCATGATGAGAGGAAACTGAATGGGGAGGTGTACGGGATCTCCTTCTATGATCTTGGCAACTTTTCTCTACACCGAGGATAAACCAGAATAAAAAGATTAAAAAAAGAGTATCTCACGGGATGCAAGGAGTCAATAGATCACTACATGAAAATATCCATAGTAATCACTTAGCAATTGTCATTATATTTTCAATAGCCGTAGGGTTTGTTGTTACTTTATTATCCGAGGTCATTGGTTTGGCCCAGGCAGAGCACAGGTGCCAGGCCTGCAGCCCACTGGACTCCCCTGAGATTCACGTTCTCTCCTTGTGGCTGGGCCCCTTGGCAGGTGTGGTTCCAGCTGAGGGCGACATACTGGACCTGAACAAGATGGTCAGACAAGTGACGGGGAAGACCCCCATCTTCTTCTATATGTCCTATGGCTGTTACTGCGGAATTGGTGGCCAAGGCCCACCCAGAGATGCCATAGACAGGTAATTCCTCCCAATCGTGCTCTGCCTCTACTCAGGGACCCTCCTCTTTCCTCTCCTGTTTCCTCTCCATCCATTTATTCAACTGGTACCATGTGCTGTTGAAGCCTAGCATGAAGGATTTTGAGCATTACTTTGCTAGCAAGTGAAATGAGCACAATTGTGCGGTAGTTTGAACATTCTTTGGCATTGTCTTTCTTTGGGATGAGAATGAAACCTGACTTTTGCAGTCCTGTGGCCACTGCTGTTTTCCAAATTTCCCTGGCTTATTGAGCATAGCACTTTTATAGCATCATCTTTTAGGATGTGAAAGAGCTCAATTGGAATTCCATCACTTCCAATAGCTTTGTTCCTAGTCATGCTTCCTAAGGCCTACTTGACTTCACACAACAGGATGTCTGGTTGTAGGTGAGTGATCACACTATCGTGGTTATCCAGGTTATTAAAACCTTTTCTGTATAGTTCTTCTGTGTATTCTTGCCACCTCTTCTTAATCTCTTCCCCTTCTGTCAGGTCCATACCATTTCTGTTCTTTATTCAGCCCATCTTTGCATGAAATATTCCCCTGGTATCTGCAATTTTGTTGACGAGATCTCTAGTCTTTCCCATTCTATTGTTGTCCTCTATTTCTTTGTATTGTTCACTTAAGAAGGCTTTCTTATCTCTCCTTGCTCTTCTCTGGAACTCTGCATTGACTTGGATTTATCTTTTCCTTTCTCTTTTGCCTTTCGCTTCTCTTCTTTTCTCAGCTATTTGTAAGGTATCCTGAGACAACTATTTTACTTTCTTACACATCTTTTTCTTTGTGATGATTTTGGTTACCACCTCCTGTACAATGTTCCGAACCTCAGTCCATGGTTGTTCTTCAAGGCACTCTGTCTATCAGATCTAATCCCTTGAATATATTAAATCACCTCCACTGTAAAATCATAAGGGATTTGGTTTAGGTCTTACCTGAATAGTCTCATGTTTTTCCCTGCTAGGAACTCCACTGAGCTCCGATCCAGACCCAGCCCTTCCGGAGGGTTCCCCAGAGTTTCTGAAGGCTGCCTTGCACTCTCAACCCCAAAGTAGTTAGAACAGCCACAAAGACTTCCCATTGCCATTGAACATTGTTTTTTAAAAAGTCCCACTTCTCTTTGCCATGATCTCACTTGGCTTTCACAGCAACCCAGGGATCTGCCACAGGAGGGATGAGAGCCAGCCAGGCCCGAGGTCAGCACCGTCACCCACCACATACAGGCTGTATGATCCTGGGCAAGTGGCCTGACCTCCCAGAGCCTCAGTTTCCTCATTTGTGAAATGGGGATAATACTAGTACCTCTATCGTAGAGTGGTCAAAAGGATTAAGAGAGAATTCCTTGATAGAGCAGGTGCCTGGTACACAGGAGGGAATCTTCCCTCATAGCTCAGAAGGTAAAGAATCTGCCTGCAATGCAGGAGACCCGGGTTCAATTCCTGGGTCAGGAAGATCCCCTGGAGAAGGAAGTGGCAACCCATCCCAGTATTCTTGCTTGGAGAATCCCATGGACAGAGGAGTCTGGCGGGCCATAGTCCATGGGGTCGCAAGAGTCAAACACGACTTAGAGACTACACCACCACCTGGTACTGAGGAAGCAGTCGAGAAGCTCTAGCTAGAAAGAAGCCTAGACCCTGCAGGCCTTGACTTCCGAGGCGGACACGCGGTTTCTGCGCTGGGGCAGGCCAACCTGAGACTCGAGTCTGCCAAGGACTCAGCCACCTCCTGTCTTCTCCTGCCAGGTGCTGCCATGAACACGACTGCTGCTACGGTGACCTGACTCCCCACAACTGTGACATCCGCTACGACCACTATGACTACACCTTTTTCCGGGGGAAAGTCCACTGTTGTGAGTGCTGGGGCCTCAGGGTTGGAGTTGGAGCCTGAGCAAAGGAGTTGCCGAAGGCATTGCTTTCACATGCTGTGTGAGAAAGCCCAAGCTGCTCAGCCTCTCTGCTTTTCTCAGATGTCCAGTGGCAATATCTGGGCTGGGAAGGAGAGGCAGGAATAGGCGTAGGAGGACTGAGAGGTCCCATAGAGACTTTGACCCCTTAGGGTCTGGAAGGCAGCCAGAACTCAGCGTAGATCCCAGACCCACCGCTGACCACTGTGTGACCTTGAACACTTTGCTTAGCTTCTCTGAACCTCAAGATCCTCCACTGGAAATTCAGGATAACAGTATTCTACTCCATAAAGTTAACTCAAAAACTAAAATAAGAGGAGACATAAGGTGCCCTGCAGATGCATGCTAGATAAATCACTCAGGCTACCGAGGTTCAATTCAGTTCATTTCAGTCGCTCAGTCGTGTCCAACTCTTGGTGATCCCATGAACCGCAGCACGTGAGGCCTCCCTGTCCATCATCAACTCCCGGAGTTCTTGCAGACCCATGTCCACTGAGTCGGTGATGCCATCCAACCATCTCATCCTCTGTCATCCCCTTCTCCTCCTGCCCTCAATCTTTCCCAGGATCAGGTTATTTTCAAATGAGTCAGTTCTTTGCATCAGGTGGCCAAAGTATTAGAGTTTCAGCTTAAGCATCAGTCCTTCCAATGAACACCCAGGACTGATCTCCTTTAGGATGGACTGGTTGGACCTCCTTGCAGTCCAAGAGATTCTCAAGAGTCTTCTCCAACACCAGAGTTCAAAAGCATCAATTCTTTGGCGCTCAGGTTTCTTTATAGTCCAACTCTCACATCCATACATGACCACTGGAAAAACCATAGCCTTGACCAGATGGACCTTTGTTGACAAAGTAATGTCTCTGGTTTTCAATATGCTGTCTAGGTTGGTCATAACTTTCCTTCCAAGGAGTAAGCGTCTTTTAATCTCATGGCTGCAGTCATCATCTGCAGTGATTTTGGAGCCCAGAAAAATAAAGTCAGCACTGTTTCCACTGTTTCTCCATTGATTTCCTATGAAGTGATGGGACATGATGCCATGATCTTAGTTTTCTGAATGTTGAACTTTAAGCCAAATTTTTCACTCTTCTCTTTCACTTTCATCAAGAGGCTCTTTAGTTCCTGTTCACTTTCTGCCATAAGGGTGGTATCATCTGCGTATCTGAGGTTATTGATATTTCTCCCAACAATCTTGATTTCAGCCTGTTCTCCCTCCAGCCCAGCATTTCTCATGATGTACTCTGCATAGAAGTTAAATAAGCAGGGTGACAATATACAGCCTTGATGTACTCCTTTTCTTATTTGGAACCAGTCTGTTGTTCGATGTCCTGTTCTAACTGTTGTTTCCGGATCTGCATACAGGTTTCTCAAGAGGTAGGTCAGGTGGTCTGGTATTTCCATCTCTTGAAGAATTTTCCACAATTTATTGTTATCCACACAGTCAAAGACTTTGGCATAGTCAATAAAGCAGAAATAGATATTCTTCTGGAACTCGTTTTTTTGCTGAGCCAGCAGATGTTGGCAATTTGATCTCTGGTTTCTCTGCCTTTTCTAAAACCAGCTTGAACATCTGGGAGTTCACGGTTCACGTATTGCTGAAGCCTGGCTTGGAGAATTTTGAGCATTACTTTACTAGCGTGAGAGATGAGAGCAATTGTGTGGTAGTTTGAGCATTCTTTGGCACTGCCTTACTTTGGGACTGGATTGAAAACTGACATTTTCCAGTCCTGTGGCCAATGCTGATTTTTCCAAATTTGCTGGCATATTGAGTGCAGCACTTTCACAGCATCATCTTTCAGGATTTGAAATAGCTCAACTGGAATTCCATCACCTCCACTAGCTTTGTTTGTAGTGATGCTTCCTAAGGCCCATTTGACTTCACATTCCAGGATGTCTGGCTCTAGGTGAGTGATCACACCATCACGACTATCTGGGTCATGAAGATCTTTTTTGCATGGTTCTTCTGTGTATTCTTGCCACCTCCTCTTAATATCTTCTGCTTCTGTTAGGTCCATACAATTTCTGTCCTTTATTGAGCCCATCTTTGCATGAAAGTTTCCTTTGGTATCTCTAATTTTCTTTGAGAGGTCTCTAGTCTTTCCCATTCTGTTGTTTTCCTCTATTTCTCTGCATTGATCACTGAGGAAGGCTTTCTTATCTCTCCTTGCTATTCTTTGGAGCTCTGCATTCAAATGGGTATATCTTTCCTTTTCTCCTTTGCTTTTCGCTTCCCTTCTTTTCACAGCTATTTGTAAGGCCTCCTCAGACAGCCATTTTGCTTTTTTGCATTTCTTTTTCTTGGGGATGGTCTTGATTCCTGTCTCCTGTACAGTATCACATACCTCCATCCATAGTTCATCAGGCTCTCTGTCTATCAGATCTAGTCCCTTAAATCTATTTCTCACTTCCTATAGTCATAAGGGATTTATTTGGGTCATACTTGAATGGTCTAGTGGTTTTCTCCACTTTCTTCAATTTCAGTCTGAATTTTGCAATGAGTTCATGATCTGAGCCATAGTCAGCTCCTAGTTTTGTTTTTGCTGACTGTGTAGAGCTTCTCCATCTTTGGCTGCAAGGAATATAATCAATCTGATTTTGGTGTCGACCATCTGGTGATGTCCATGTGTAGAGTCTCCTCTTGTGTTGTTGGAAGAGGGTGTTTGCTATGAGCAGTGTGTTCTCTTGGCAGAGCTCTGTTAGCCTTTGCCCTGCTTCATTCTGTACTCCAAGGCCAAATTTGCCTGTTACTTCAGGTTTTTCTTGACTTCCTACTTTTGCATTCCAGTCCCTTTAATGAAAAGGATATATTTTTGGGGTGTTAATTCTAGAAGGTCTTGTAGGTCATCATAGAACTGTTCAACTTCAGCTTCTTCAACATAACTGATCAGGGCATAGACATGCATTACCCTGAAATTGAATGGTTTGCCTTGGAAATGAACAGAGATCACTCTGTCATTTTTGAGATTGCATCTAAGTACTGCATTTCAGACTCTTTTGTTGACCATGATGGCTACTCCATTTCCTCTAAGGGATTCCTGCCCACAGTAGTAGATATAATGGTCATCTGAGTTAAATTCACCCATTCGAGTCCATCTTAGTTCGCTGATTCCTAGAGTGTCAGTGGTAGCTCTTGTCATCCTCTTTTTGATCACTTCCAATTTGCCTTGATTCATGGACCTAACATTCCAGGTTCCTATGCAATATTGCTCTTTACAGCATCGAACCTTGCTTCTATCACCAGTACCATCCACAGATGGGTGTTGTTTTTGCTTTGGCTCCATCCCTTCATTCTTTCTGGAGTTATTTCTCCACTGATCTCCAGTACGATATTGGGCACCTACCGACCTGGGGAGTTAATCTTTCAGTGTCCTATCTTTTTGTCTTTTCATGCTGTTCCTGGGGTTCTCAAGGCAAGAACACTGAAGTGGTTTGCCATTCCCTTCTCCAGTGGACCACATTTTGTCAGACCTCTCCACCATGACCCATTCATCTTGGGTGGCCCCACACGGCATGGCTTAGTTTCATTGAGTTACCAAGGTTACTGTTCATTTTTTCTTCATCATCGGTTCTTAGAGCAACCCATATAGGCATCAGCACTCCTCTGGTGATCATTTTCTTGTTGTTGTTGTTGGTCACTAAGTTGCATCTTACTCTTCGCAACCCCAGGAACTGTGACCCGCCTGTCTCCTCTGTTCATGGGAATTCCCAGGCAAAAATGCTGGAGCGTGTTGCCATTTCCTTGCTCAGGAATCTTCCTGACCCAGGACTTGCACCCACATCTCCTGCTTGGCAGGCGAATTCTGAGCCACCTGGGAAGCCCTGATCTCCATTTTACTGACAAGAAAATGGAAACTAGAGTGAACTGTTTGCTCAGGGTCACACAGATACACATGAGAAAGCCTGGGCTGTAACCCGGGTCACCAAGTCCCAGGGTCCAAGCCCAGAGAAAGGCGGCAAGTCCTGGGCTGGAAGCTGAATGCGCTCACCAGCTGTCCCTGTTAACTGAGAACTTAGCGGCAACAGCTGTAATGGCCAACATTTATTGACCACTTAAATGGCAACCCAATCCAGTACTCTTGCCTGGAAAACCCCATGGACAGAGGAGCCTGGTAGGCTACAGTCCAAGGGGTCGCAAAGAGTTGGACATGACTGAGAGACTTTACTTTACTATGTGACAAAGGCTTTGCCTACTTATTTTAATCTGAATATATACATATATATATATGTATACATATTATTTTTCAGATTCCTTTCCCTTACAGATTATTACAAAATACTGAGCAGAGTTCCCCATGCTATACAGTAGGTCTGGCTCTCTTATCCCCATTTGACAAATGGTGAAACTGAAGCAGCATGGCCCGTCTTTGCTCAGAGTCTTTGCACATGCGGCTCCTTCTGCCAGGAGCAGTCCCTCTCCCCACCCTGGCGTTCCAGAGCAGCAGCAGCAGCTGACTCTTCCGATCTCAGCTCAGAGGGCTTTTGGCACTCAGTCCGTCCCATGGGTTCCCAGCTCAGGGCCCCTGCATTGTCCTTACTCCCGGGTAAGCACAGTTGCACTCACTTCTGTGAAGGGCAGGGAAGCCTGGCACGCTGCCGTCCGTGGGGTCACAAAGAGTCGGACACGACTGAGCGACTGAACAACAGCAACCACACACCTCTCGACATCTGCCCCCCGCCCCAGGGGAGTGTGAACTCGCGTGTCCATTCTGCTCTCCTCTCCCTCCTGGGACTGCCGAGGGATAGGTGCTCAGTTGTTTACTGAACGGATGAATGAATGAAGGAGCAATGTCACGCAGGGAGGTCATGCCCCACGCCCAAGGTCACAGAGCCAGAGTCCAGGGAGCTGGGAAGGGCACCAAAGGCTGGTCAAGGGCTGAGCTGCCTTCAACAGCTCCCATCCAGGGGCCACACCCACCCCGCCACGGGAAGGGGCAGACCGCTTAAGTGCCCCCCTCCACCCCCTCACAGCCACCAAGGGGAGCTGGTGTGAGCAGCAGCTGTGTGCCTGTGACAAGACATTGGCCTATTGCCTGCAGCGGAACCTGAACACCTACAAGAGTGACCTGCGTTATCTGTCCAGCTGCGAGGGCGAGATCCCCGAGTGCCACACCCTCTAGCCTGTCCCTCAGCATCTTGAGCTCTGGGGAAGACCCCCAGGACCACTGGCCACACCCTCAACCCCAGTCTGGCGCCTTCAAAGCACTCCAGGGAAGAGGAAGGGGCTTAGCCCCGCCCCTAGCTCCCGCTTGCCTCTTGGACCTTCTGAATCTCCCCAGCTGTCTCCTCTGAGGGTGGGTTGAGATCTTGGGAAAAACCAAGGCCAGGCAGTAGCCAGGGGAGAGTGTCTGGGCCAAAGCGGTGGGCACTGGCGGCAGGGGCGGCGGCGGGGTGGGGCAGGTTCTCCCTTCAGGACCACTCACCAGGCCCCTCCAGGCTCCCCCTGCCCCTAAAACACCATCCAAGCAGCTGCCAGAGTGGCCTCTGTAAAGGGCGATACGGACCTTTCTGTCCATGGGATGCCACTTCTTCAAACCCCAAGGCCCCGAGTCCTGCCTCCCACTCCAGCCCACCCCTCCGGTCGTCCCAGGTCACACACGTACCTATGGTTGATTCAGGCTGATGTGTGGCAGAAACCAACACAATGTTATAAAGCAATTATTCTCCATTTAAAAATAAATAAATGAAAAAAAAAAAACCCACAACCCCAGGGCCCTGCACCATCCAGGACGTGGCGGGGGGTGGCGGGCGAGGAGCCTGGGTCCCGTTTCTGCCCGGCACTGTGTCCCGCTCCCTTGGAGCCTTGGGGAGCCTCGCAGACTTGCCTCGTGCCTGTCTTGGACTCACTGCAGCCCTGGTGCCCGGAGCCCAGCAGGGGCTCAGGAAATACTTTTCGAGCGAAGGACTAGACCAAGCCGCCAGCTGCCTGGGCTCCAGGCACCCGGTCTGCAGGCCACTGGGCTTCCGGGCACTCTTGCCTCTCTGGCTGCCAGGCGTTTGCTCAAGCTCGACTTCCGCAGCGACGCTCCGCTGGCCTGCTGTCTCCCAGCTAGCTAAGCCCATCCTAGGCTCCTCGGGGTCCAAGGGCCGCTTCCTCTCCAGTTCCAAGGGCTCACTCCCAGCCTCAAGCTCCCACGGCACTTCACGGGGCTTCACCTTGCCGAGCTCCCACCCGCGTGGTATGTGGCCGTCTGGCCTGCTCTGCACAGACTGGAGCTCCGGGAGGGTGGAGTCCGTGTCTCTTGCATCTCCCCTCCCTCTGCTCCCCCAGGTGCTAGGGGTGCCAGTCAATGCTTTGGAATCAAAGGAGCCCCCAGAAGAGAGACGGAGGTGGGGCAGGTGGTGTTCAGGCCCCACCCAGATCCCCTCCTGGCCCAGGTCCCCAACCCAGGGGTCCCCTGCCAAGTCTGCACTTCGGCCTCCTTCACTTGAGGATTTCCCCAGGCTGCTGGGTGCTGCCGTGCCCATCACCCACCCCTCGTCGCCCACCTCCAACCAGTGAGTTGGGAGAATGATGCCATGGAGGGCATAACCGCCCTCTCCCCGCCTGATGCAAGACCATCCGGGTCGTACACTGTGTGCCCCAGAGCTCCTCCTGGGTTCAGGCTAGATGTCTTGATTTGTGCACTGGCCTACTCTGTTTTCCTGTTTCTCCTGCCGGTTTCTCCCTAAGGGCACTTCCTCAGTAAATCTTTCCCTTGCCCAAGAATTCTCGTCTCAGGCTTGGCCCTTAGGGAAACTGCCTTCAGATGGATGGATGGATAGATGGTGAATATATTCTTACAAGAAGTCCCAACCTGTCATTCATATATGCTTAGCCGTGATTCCAGCTACGTGGCTGGGGCACCTAGAGCCCCACCCGCACCCTCCGGTCTGTGACACACATCTGTGAAAGTGCTGACTGAGTGGTTTTCCTTCCACGTGAAGCTCAGATACTCATGCCGGAAAGCATAGCAGAGGCTCTGAACTATGGGTGCCAGGTTCAGATTCCAAGAACTTTATTGGCAGTCCAGTGGCTGGAACTCTGCACTTTCACTGCCAAGTGCCCAGGTTCAATCCCTGTTTGGGGAACTAAGATCCCCAAAGCTCTGCAGTTCACTGCAGTTCAGTTCAATCGCTCAGTCGTGTCCGACTCTCTGCGACCCCATGGACTGTAGCATGCCAGGCTGCAGCATCCCCCACCACCAATTCCTGGAGCTTACTCAAACTCATGTCCATTGAGTTGGTGATGCCATCCAACCATCTCATCCTCTGTCATCCCCTTCTCCTCCTGCCTTCAATCTTTCCCAGCATCAGGGTCTTTTCCAGTAAATCAGCTCTTCGCATCAGGTGGCCAAAATATTGGACTTTCAGCTTAAGCATCAGTCCTTCCAATGAACACTCAGGACTGATTTTCTTTAGGATGGACTGGTTGGATCTCCTTGCAGTCCAAGGGATTCTCAAGAGTCTTCTCCAACACCATAATTCAAAAGCATCAGTTCTTCAGCGCTCAGCTTTCCATATAGCCCAACTCTCACATCCATACATGACTACTGGAAAAACTGTAGTCTTGACCAGATGGACCTTTGTTGGCAAAGTAATGTCTTTGCTTTTAATATGCTGTCTAGGTTGGTCATAACTGCAGTGCACCCCCCAAAAAAAGTCATTATCCCACCGTCTGCCTCGTGAGCTTATATGAAAAAGCTAGGTTTCCTTGTGTGTGAAGTTAGATGGAAATAAGAAAATAAGATGAAGTCACTGTACTAAATAAGGTTAATGTGTGTTAAGTCTTAGCACAGTTCGTGACACATGGTAATTTCTCTTTTAAAATCAACTGCTACTCGTTGTTGTTGAGTGCTAAGTCATGTCTGACTCTTTATGACCCTGTGGACTGTAGCCCACCAGGCTCCTCTGTCCATGGAGTTTCCCAGGCAAGCATACTGGAGTGAGTTGCCATTTCCTTTCTCCAGGTAATAGTCCCGACCCAGGGATGGAACCGGGTCTTCTGCATTGGCAGGCGGATTCTTTACCGCTAAACCCCCTGGGTGGCGTTGTTATACAGAGACAAGACCTGAAACCTGAAACCCCCTCTTTTTACCCACTTCTTCTCTCCTTTCTGCACCGAACCTGTGTATGTTAGATCGTGACACACGAGGTCTACTCAAGACACAAGGTCAAGAGCTGGTGCCCTCACTGGCTCATCAGAGCTCCCAAACTGTGGCCTTGTGACAGTACCAGTGTTGGCAGATAAGGACGTTATTATCCCCACTTTACAATGGAGACCCTGAGGCTCGGAACCGGAGCAGGAACCTCCAGGGGGTCCTCAACCAACAGAGCCCAGAGTCAGGGCTCCACTCCCATGCCACGCTTCCCGCTCTGCTCCCTGGCAACCCCTCCCATTCACACCGGTCAGGAAGCTTTCCAGCCAAAAACTCTGACTCAGTGAGTTTCAACAACAAGTGACGAGACATCTAGGAGGAAGGTGGCTCTTTAGTGGCTTGATGATGTCATCGGCTCCGGTTTCTTCCCGGCCATCCTCCTGGGCTGTTATTGCCTCTGGGCGTCTCGCTTCCTGTCTCTAAGATAGCAGCTACTGTCCAGAAGTGAAAACATCCGGCAGAGGAAACGCTGTCTGTCCCTGTCTCTTCAATATGCCCCACTGCCACCACCATCTAGCAGACCTGCTCAAGACTTAAACCATGATGGCCCCAGATGATGTGATTACCCTGGGTGGTTTATATTTCTCAGGATTTATTTACCCCTGATGCTGTGAAAGTGCTGCACTCAATATGCCAACAAATTTGGAAAACTCAGCAGTGGCCACAGGACTGGAAAAGGTCAGTTTTCATTCCAGTCCCAAAGAAAGGCAGTGCCAAAGAATGCTCAAACTACCGCACAGTTGCACTCATCTCACATGCTAGTAAAGTAATGCTCAAAATTCTCCAAGCCAGGCTTCAGCAATACGTGAACTGTGAACTCCCAGATGTGCAAGCTGGTTTTATAAAAGGCAGAGGAACCAGAGATCAAATTGCCAACATCCAGTGGATCATCGAAAAAGCAAGAGAGTTCCAGAAAAACATCTATTTCTGCTTTATTGACTAGGCTAAAGTCTTTGACTGTGTGGATCACAATAAACTGTGGAAAATTCTTCAAGAGATGGGAATACCAGACCATCATATCTGTCTCTTGAGAAACCTGTATGCAAGTCAGGAAGCAACAGTTATAACTGAACATGGAACAACAAACCAGTTCCAAATAGGGAAAGAAGTACATCAAGGCTGTATATTGTCACCCTGCTTATTTAACTTCTATGCAGAGTACATCATGAGAAATGCTGGGCTGAAGGAAGCACAAGCTGGAATCAAGATTGTTGGGAGAAATAACAATAACCTCAGATATGCAGACGACACCACCCTTATGGCAGAAAGTGAAGAGGAACTAAAAAGCCTCTAGATGAAAGTGAAGGAGGAGAGTGAAAAAGTTGGCTTAAAGCTCAACATTCAGAAAACTAAGATCATGGCATCTGGTTCCATCACTTCATGGGAAATAGATGGAGAAACAGTGGAAACAGTGTCAGACTTTATTTTGGGGGGCTTCAAAATCACTGCAGATGGTGATTGCAGCCATGAAATTAAAAGACGCCTACTCCTTGGAAGGAAAGTTATGCCCAACCTGGATAGCATATTTAAAAGCAGAGACATTACTTTGCCAACAAAGGTCCATCTAGTCAAGGCTATGGTTTTTCCAGTGGTCATGTATGGATGTAAGAGTTGGACTGTGAAGAAAGCTGAGTGCCGAAGAATTGATGCTTTTAAACTGTGGTGTTGGAGAAGACTCTTGAGACCCTTGGACTGCAAGGAGATCCAATCAGTCCATCCTAAAGGAGATCAGTCCTGGGTGTTCATTGGAAGGACTGATGCTGAAGCTGAAACCCCAATACTTTGGACACCTCATGCGAAGACTCATTGGAAAAGACCCTGATGCTGAGAAGGATTGGGGGCAGGAGGAGAAGGGGATGACAGAGGATGAGATAGTTGGATGGCATCACCGACTCGATGGACATGGGTTTGGGTGGACTCTGGGAGTTGGTGGTGGACAGGGAGGCCTGGCGTGCTGCGATTCATGGGGTCAGAAAGAGTCG